TCACCATGTATTGGGAAGTTGTGAAAGCTTGAGAGGTGAGTAATGTGATTGTAAATGGGCTTTATACAGATGTCATTGTTTCCCAAATGGGAGAGCTGACAGTGTCTCCTAAAGTCTTTTGCTTGTCTTCAATGAAAAAAATCTTTATTCCTAAGTGCTCATTCTTAAGTGCAACACATAGCATCCAGTCAAAATATTTTCTGTACTATTCTGACTTCAGAAGAATTAATACTGATTGGCTCCTGTAGGTTACTACATTTAAAAGTAGCAATTAAGACATGTTTGGTGAATAAAGCTAATTATGACCTAGTATTGTTATTGTTACATTGCATTGAAATTGCCACATTCTGTACTGGTTTTTGTATGGTAATATACTAAATTATGGCAGTTAGAGATAATAATACATACACATTCTCACATCATTTTATGGTAGTGCTAGCCCATAAAATATTACTGCTTTCAGAGGGAAACAAAAGTCAGGTAGCAAAGCAGTGAGTGATGCTGCATACAGATAAAGCCAAACTTCCATTCCCCTGAGCTGTGACAAACAAATGCATTTCCCTTTGCTCTGGGGAAAATGACAGCTGCTGTAATCCACTGTTGTTAGACTTTTTGCTGCTGCTTTTCTTTTGTTGTTTGTAAATTGCCAGCATTGCTTTGTCCTGGCTGGCACTTTACACTAATCTGACTGCATCTGCAAACACTTCAACGACAATGGCTGCATATTAATAATCTAAAGTACAGACTATGATGATAACCTTAACATATTCAGAAGGGCTACTTCTTTAGATTCTGAAGATTCTGAAATTAAGATTTCCATAGCACTCAATCGAGGAAGAAACAGCAGATCAGACACTAACCCGTAAACAACATGTGAAGTGCATCTACAGTTACAGTTCATTATTGTACAGTATCTTGTTTTAATGCTGGGTCATCGTAAGTAATGATAGATGATGTTGCTAAAGTTAAAAGTATTTGTCTGCTGAATGCATGGATAACTCCATACATTTCTTATTTATTATATACCCAATCATTTCCGTTTTAGGTAACTAATTCCAGACAATGAACTATGACATAACCAGAAGCAATAATATATTTTCTTTGACTTCTTCAAGACTTGTTATGTTCACTACATTAGTCTCTATAAATGTATAACACCATATTGAAAGTGACCAGTGTCATTGTGATCCTATTTTTTATAGTTTCTGATAAAAATGTTGGGCCACCTCTCTACTTCTAGTCAGTGGCAGAGCTAAGGAACAAAGGGCCCAGGTGCAAGATTATTTTTTTTTGGCCCCCCCCAAAAAAAAACACAAACACAGCGCTCTCGGCCGGCTGTCACTTTCTCTCCTCCCCGCTGGGACACAGAGCAGCACCCAGCGGCGAGGAAAGAAAGCAGGGATGCGCCGCTGTATCAGCAGAAAAATGGCACTTTCGGCATTTAGCCAAAAGTGCCATTTCCGTCCGATATATCGGTGCAGCCCTAATGGCAATGCAGAATGGCACAGGCTATAGAGAACTACACATTCCAGCAATACTTTATATAACAATAGCAATAACAATACCCCCCTCTCGCACGCTCTGCCCCTCCCGCACACAGCCGACGAGCACAGCGGAGTAAGCGGGACTGGGCAGTAGCGGCAGCGCGCTGTGATTGGCGCAGGGTTGCCATGGCGATAGAATGCTGACCCGGATCGGGAGCCGTGCTGTGTCAGATTACACAGCGCGTCTCCCGATCTGGCCACCATCACCATGGCAACCATCAGTATCCGGCGGCCGGCGGGCTCCCCATCTCTGCACCGGGAGTGTCGGATGAACGGATGATCCAACACTCTCGGCGCAGAGATGGGGGGCCCGCTGGCCGCTGGGTACCGATCCGGTGCTGGGCCCCCCCAGGCCTAGGCCCTGGTGCACCTGCACCGGCGGTAGTTCCGCCACTGCTTCTAGTACTAGAGGTCAACATACCAGCTGCTAGAATTGTAAAGACAGCATACCACACATGCATATTTATGTGCAGGCCAGTGCGTCTGCTCTGCTGGAGATCAGAACCACTCCATGATCTACTGGAGGAGCAGTCTATCCACTGGAGTTTGAAATACCTCCTGCATATTCACAAAGACTGTGCACCAACCAATGATCCTGCTCCCTGAGCAGGGAGCCCCTGCACTGTCTTGACTACTCTGCTCAATCAGCAACACTCATGCTCCCTGAGCAGGAAGTGTGATTGGTGTTGATCCTGGACCACTGGCGATAGACAGCTGCTCTTACACAGAGCACAGCAGTTGTGATCTCCAGTATGCTGCCAGGGAAGGTTGCGATGGTGCTGAAGCACTAGTAAACATACAAGGCAACAATACAAATTGGGAATAAAAGTTATTGGTTAATTATATACTTTTAAAGTTAATGGATAACCTGCATTCAATAGGATGAAGAGTTTGGAGAAGGAAGGGGAAGTAAACAATCTAGGACAACATAGCTGAACTGGAAAGTGAGCTGAATTGGGGAATTTTTCCAAATCAGCAATTTTGCCCTAGATCGTTCACTTCTCCTGCCTTCTCCAAACCTTTCACCCTTTAGTGAATGGACCTGCAAGTGTCAATAAAAATAAGACTTTATTTTGGCAACTGTTGTGTTGTGAAATTTGTGTCTTGCATGGGAAACAATACAAATGAATCCTAATAAAGAATATATTGTGCCTAAGTATATGCAGCAGCTTTATGAACTGTTAGTTATGCCTTTGTTATAATGTTGTCAGTGATTGACATTTGTATTCTTGGTATCTGCATGAGGCACATGTCTTCCTTGCCTTAATTCTTTTCTTTTCTCTTTTCAAAGGTCCAGAGGAACACCGCAAGTACGGAGGGCTCTATCTACAAAGCTATAAGACCTGTTCATTGTTTCCAGCATTATCAGTTTAAACCCAACATCTGGACACAAGACGCTTTACACTAATGTATTCAATTAGGTTTCATTAAAATGTAATAAGCTGCGGTTTCAGAAACAATTAATGTATTCACAAATGATGCTGCTAAACTGCAGTTTTGCATTATCACAAATGAAAATACTCCTTTTTTGATGTTGCTGTACAGATCTATTTTCATTGCAGGGACTTTAATAACAAAATAAGTGGTTATTATCCCTCTGGGATATACATTTTTTATAAAATAATTTTAAATAAACAAGGACCATGCACTTGGACCAGGAGGTAGTGCGGTGAAGAGGATTATATCCAATGACACCAAATAATATAGGATAAGCATTTAAAGTTTACCTGGGCTGCCTAATCTGATTTTATGTAATTATTTTTACAAATGTTTTCCTTATGTTTATTTCCATAATCTGACTAAATGGACTGCGCAATACAATTGATAAATTATACCAATAAACATTTACATTTGTAAACCTTATGTAAACCTGATCATGTTTATTTTATTTGACTGGCAAAAATAAACAGGAATGTCCCATCAATGGAAAGCTGTTCTTAACAACAAGTGTTCGGACCCACCCCCAGCAGTAAGTCCACCCACCTGAAGTCCCCCTTCACATCTAAAGTGCCACCCAATGCCACCACTATAGACAATAAAGGAACTTTGTATTTTTACCAGTGCATTTGAGGCACTATAAAACTAATGAGATTACCTGAGACAAATATCTCATCTTACTTCATAATAGGAATGACATCTAGTGAAGGTTTATGCAGTTCCCCATGCTACATGCGTTCATGTGCATACATGCTGGAACTGGGTTTCATTTGGACAACCAACCAAAATCTTTAAGCAGAAGATGGTGAAAGTGGATTATACTTTAATAGTGCTGCTTTGCATTAGTATTTACCCACCTCCCCAGTGACCTTTGTACTGGTACAGCCTGGAATGTATAAAGGTACAGCCGGCAATGTAAAAATGTTTTAATCATTTTATTTATACAATATACTTACAAATTTGAAGGTGACAAATATTGGTATTGTGATACAATTAAAGAACAATGCAGAGCTATGACATTGCAGAACATGAGTCAGTGAGGCATATAACCACCTTTGGCTTTCATCTGTGGGTCTTTTGGGGTAAGTATCTACTAACTTTACACACCTGGATACTTCAGTTTGTACTTATTCTATTTTGTCAAATCCCTAGGTCTGGTTTTATGATGACTGATAGACATCATTTGCATTGAGCTCCGGGCTTTAACTGAATAATTCAAAGACATTCATGTTCTTGATTTTAAACCACCATTTTGCAGCTTTGGCTGTGTGTTTGGGGTAATATTTTATCTGATATTGATCAAGACACCAGTGTGAGGTGCTATGCAAACTAAAACAGGTTTTCCTCTTGAATTGTTTGGTTCCATCTCAATCCTGCTTTCTACCAACGCACATCACATGTTACACTTAGCTGTACAGCTGTGGATCTCCTTCCGAATTACAATTGGCTGCTTGGTTGCATCTCTGACTGTTAATCCTTACCTAGGCACTGAGTTTTAGTGATTAGCTAGGATTTTCAGTGGGTGGCCTTCTATAAGTAGTGTTTTTCATTTTTTAATTATGGATTTAATGGTGCTCTGGAGGACTTTAAACGATTAGCGGTTTTAATGACATCCTATCACATCTTGGTACTTCTCCAAAACTTTATGCTAGATTTTCTTTTTATGCTCTGTAAATATATTATTTAACGAATTCTGAAATAGTTTAGTTTACTTTGAGATTATATTTAACTTTATCTGCAAGTAGACTAACTGGAACTATGTATATGAAATTTCAATAACTATGCTACTCAAAATTATACAGAAAAATCCCTTTCCCATTATTCTTGAAGCATGGCCCAGCGAATCTGTAAAATGACTGGAAAGCTGCTGTTCACCAACAGCTCAAAAGCAGCATGACAGTTCTAGAGAGTTTGACAAAAAATGGGAAACATTACAGCATTCAGATGTGCAAAACTGGTAGAGACTCTCCCAACAAGATTTTACTGTTGTAAATGGAGCCAGAGGTGGCTCTACCAATTATTGAGCCAGACAGGTGAAATTATTTTCTTCATTAACATTTGTATCATAATGAAAACCACATATGTTTACACCTAAACGTGTTATATAACACTTCTAGTAGAGAATAACAATTACTCCAACCCATCAAGGGTATTCAAAATATAAACTCTCAATTTTTTTAAAGGAATAATTGCCTCCAAAGTACTTACAACAAATTCTAAATATGTTAATTAAATGAATAGCAAGGCAGGAGGAAACTTTTGGATGTATCCAAAACTAATTGCACTTAAAAAATAAATATTTTGTTTACCTGTTTAATGCATGCCTTAACCATAAGTTATAAACAGCTGTTTAGTTATTATTACCTACTACCACTTAGTTACTATTTTTTCAACATGACAATGATCCCAAACATACCGCCCGGGCAACGAAGGACTGGCTTCGTAAGAAGCATTTCAAGGTCCTGGAGTGGCCTAGCCAGTCTCCAGATCTCAACCCCATAGAAAACCTTTGGAGGGAGTTGAAAGTCCATGTTGCCCAACGTCAGCCCCAAAACATCACTGCTCTAGAGGTGATCTGCATGGAGGAATGGGCCAACATACCAGCAACAGTGTGTGCCAACCCTGTGAAGACGTACAGGACACGTTTGACCTCGGTCATTGCCAACAATGTATTGAGTATTGAGATGACCTTTTGATATTGACCAAATACTTATTTTCCACCATAATTTGCAAATAAATTTGTTCCAAATCAGCCAATGTGATTTGTCTGGATTTGTTTTCTCATTTTGTCTCTAGTTGAGGTCTACCTATGATGCCAATTACAGGCCTCTCTCATCTTTTTAAGTGGGAGAACTTGCACATTTGGTGGCTGACTAAATACTTTTTTGCCCCACTGTATATACTGAGTAGGCTGAGTGAGCTTCTAGGTAAAATAACAGAACTGAATTACCCTTATGTTAAATACCAAAGATGTTTTAGTGTGAATCAACCAGCTGAACACCAGAATTTCACTGATTTCAACCTTGATTGGCACAACCCTTTTGAGTTAAATTTTGAACTTGGTGCTTCACTTTACTCGCTAGTTGCCTGTACCCTCATAGCAATGACCAGCAGATCACTAATATTAGTGATCTGTTGATGCAAAGGTACATAGGGAGGCTTGCTTAGGGGCCTTCAACCTGGTCCAGCCCCCTATGGAGAAAAAAGTGGGAAAAAGTTAAAATATAGATTTAAAAAATCTTTAGTATAAACCCTCATATATCAAACACACCAAAATAATCGTGTACACTGCATTATTAAATTATCTTATCTTAGCGCAGCACTAACAATTTATGCAAACTGATTATTTTTTATCAATGTGCATTGTGATGTAAAAATGTAATAAGGTATTAGGAGTTAAACTAACACAGCTCCAAAAAAAAGAAAAAATATTACTATTCTCTAGGAGTTAGACGCCTGTGGTCGTGGAATGGTTAGTTTATAACAAATGATTAGCGTTAGGCAGGTATATGAGTGAACATTCTTACTGCATATAGCAGGGGGACAAAAAGAAAATTACATTACAAGATTAAAAGTGCCCCTGTGCTCAACAACTTCAGATCTCTAGGTCACTTGGATAGATTAGCAGGAACAATAAGGTTGAGTGCATGTGATATTTTATACATAGCTGAAGCATTTCCATTGTACCCAAGAAATTAAAGCCTGAGTATAAAAGTACATACGTCAAGCTGTTATCTTACCCTCTTTATAGGTTTTCATTAAATGGACAAAGAAAAACATCCAATTAAACATTGTAAAGGGAGGGCCTTGGTCATGTTTTGAATTCACCTTTTCAAAGAATCCTTTGTAACATAGGAGTTTCATTTTACATTTTCTTCTGGTTGACAGAATACATTCAACAATGAAAAGAGAGTGTGTTTGACAATACTAATGAATATAAGGAAAAGTGAAAGTAGCAAACATTGATGTAAAAGAGCACAGTTCAAACAGTCACCTTGACATATTTAAATATTTATTTTACAATGTACCACCTAGCAGCCTGCCTTGTATGTGTCACTTATAATATTCAGCAACTGCTAAAAGGTTTTTTTTTAAAGATTTGATTATTTTCCTTTTTAGGCTTTCAGTAATGAAAGTAAAATATCATTGCAAAGATCTTTTCATCACAAATCATATCAATACATTTGAAAGTTATTTCTATAGTAGCAGTTTTCATTTATGCCATTACAACGTTCATGAGATTAAAAGACTTATTTCAATCCATTTCAACCTCAATTTAAAGTTAGAGCACAGAAACACAAGCTCCCCTAAGCAATTGTAAATTTTGCCAGAGAAAAAGAAAGAAGTAATTCCTGAACCAGCTTGGACAGTCAGATCAATTCCCTAAGTTAAATTGTTTCCCTATTATCCTTTACTAATTTTTTGTTTCAAAATATTTATGGGGGGAATAGTGGTTGTGAGCTTATGGGGAGGAGAGGTAGGTATGGAGATATTAGGCCTGATGAGTATTTCAGTGAGTCCCACACTTTTAAAGCTTGTTTCATAAGGGGGCTGAGAGTTAATGGTCTGGCAGCGGGTGGTAGCCACGGGAGTGCTGAAAGTAGCGGAGGTTCCCGCGCCTTGCCCTGTTCTCCATATCTTCCACCTTGTCCATAATGGCAATGAGGTCAGTATTTACAGTGTCCAGATCATGCTCATGAGATTCCATCACCTCTATAACGTCATCCACCTTTTTTTCCAACTGGTCGGTACGAGCACCTAGATCCCTAAGCTCCCTAGTTAAGGTCTCATGCAGCCTGTCAGAGACCGCCGTCAGCTCAGAGTGCAGCATGGCACGAAATTTCTCTAACAGTGCTGCATCTCTGGAGTCCACCTGATCATCACCCTGGGTGATAGGGAGGCTGTCCATTGATGAGGAATCGTGCGCGTCAGATAGTAGGAGCGACGAGGCAGCCTGCTTCGGTGCTGCTCGTGCGGCCGCCATCTTGGGAGTACCTCGTTTCTGGGGCTGTGCCTTCCGTACGTCCTTCTGCCGTCTGCTCTGCCGCATATCGCCGCCACCGGAGATGTAGGAGATCGGGGAGTAATGCCCAATGTCCCGGTGTCACTCAAGGTGAGATTAATAGCTTATTGTAGCTCT